GAACAGGAAATTCAAATGTGTCTCATCACACCCACACACACACACACACACACACACACACACACACACCACAGTATTTGATTATGCACATTTCCCATTACCTTCTCTTATTCTCACCTTTGCATGCCCACTGGGCCTTTTTTCTTTATAGCAAGCCCCTTCTTATTCTCATGTTAGTTTTTGAGACAAGATTTCTCACTGGCTGAGAGCTTGCCCTAAGCCCCGTTGGCCAGCCATTGGGCCCCAGGGTATCTTATCTACCTAGTGGCCTAGTAGCTTTTCTCTAACTCTCCAGAGTTAAAGATGCCCACTGCCATACCTGGATTTAACTTTATTTCGTTTGTGTGTGTGTACATGTACCACATTTCAAGTATGGGGGTCAGAGAACAACTTGTAAGAGTTGATTCTCTCATGCCACCATATGGGTCCCAGGGATTGTATTCAGGTTGTCAGGTTTGGCAGCAAACCCCTTTACCTGCTGAGCCATAGATCTGTTGGCCCCACACCTGGCTTTATAGTGGGTTCTGGGGTATGAACTCAAGTCCTGATGCTTACATGGCAAGTTCTTTACTGATTGAGCCATCTCCCCAGTCTCTTGAGTCAGTTTTCTGCCACCTGAGCAGGTGTCTGGCAAGAGAAGGGCCTACCTGGTTCCCTTGGGAGTATGACTCAGGTGCAGCACCCCTTTGGTTGATTAGCTTGGGTCAGGGATCCTTTTCCTTTAAAGATAGGTGGAGTACCAGACTGGTCCTCCTCTCCCTCTTTGCAGCCTGTTTTCCCAGGGGATTTCCTACCCCCAATCTGAAGCTGAGAAAAAGCTGAACAGATGGGCTGAAACAGGAGCCCAGTTCCCATCCAGAGTCCAAGCTGAGGATGGACAGGGTAGGCTAGGAATGGGGTTGGGAACTGACTGCTTGTGTGTGCAGAGGATTGCTGCCAGGGCTTTATTCTTCATGACTTTGGTTTTCATGTCCACAAGGACCAGTAGGCATTTAGCAGATCCCACAGTGTGCTGGCTTAGTATGGGTCCCTCTGGGGCCACCCAGAGGCATTGGTCCTTGACCCTCAAAGAGCCTCCACAGGGGACATTAGCTTCACAGAGGAAGCCATATGGTTCAGCATGTGACAATCTTATAGATTAAAAGTGGCTTCTCAGTGGGGAGGAGAGGAGGAGGAGCTGGAGATGAAGGAGATGAAGGCCCTGGGAAGCAAGGTTGGGCTGCTCCCTGGGGCTGTAGACCCGACCTTGCTGCCCTTGCTGCGCTGAGGAGGGGAAGGAATTAGTGTTCACCCTCAGGTTCGCTTGAAGAATGTCCTAGACATTGGGAATGTCCTAGAAGCATCTCCAAGACATTGATTTCTCTAGGGCTTGAGCTGACTATGATCTGAACTGGCAGAGTTCTTCTTGGAGTCCCAAATAGGCTGGTCAGCTGGCCTGTCACCCTAGTTTAGCTTCTCAAGTCCTCCTCATGCAAGTGTGAGACACTCTGGGCCAGATGTTCTCCTTTGGAGAAGAAGGTGGTGGAGGCTGGGGTTCCCCTGAGAGAGGTGTAGACAGTCTGCTCTCTGTTGCTCCTTCAGGGCCTTGTCCCCAGGGCCACTAATTCCTCCTCCCAGTCTCCATCAGTGGTAGGTGAGGCAGCTGTACAAACTTTGTATGTGTAAGGAAGTGGACATCAGAGGACCTTTTCAGTATCACTTTGGGCTGAGGCTCCAACTCACTTTTCTTCTGGCCTCACCACTCTCCCCCTTCTCCACTTGTCACACTGACCCATGGCAGCTCATCTCTACTTTGTTTCTGGTGCCAGCCCAAGTCCTATATCATCACCATCATTATTTATTTATTTATTTATTTATTTATATATATATTTTTTCCATTTTTAATTTAAAGTAGAAACAAGATTGTTTTACATGCCAATCACAGTTCCCTCTCTCTCCCCTCCTCCCCCCACTCACAACATACCTATCCCATACCCTTTCTGCTCTCCAGGGAGAGTGAGGCCTTCCATAGGGGATCTTCAGAGTCTGTCATATCCTTTGAGATAGAGCCTAGGCCATCCCCTGTGTGTCTAGGCTCAGGGAGTATCCCTCTATGTGAAATGGGCTTCCAAAGTCCATTCCTATGCTAAGAATAAGTACTGATCTACTACAAGAGGCCCTATAGATTTCT